CTCATTTAGAAACAACCTTTTTTAGTAATTTTTTTATTTTTTTGTTAAAATATGATGTAAAAAAAATTAGTATGTTTAGGATGTATTTTTTATTTTTTACGAAAAGATGTGCAAAAAGTAGAGAGAAAATAAAATCTTTGACTTTTTGGTATAGGTTGTTAGCTTTTAATTTTTTTTGTGACTTTTTGACTTTTTAACTAAAAAAATCACTTACCAAACGAGGCCTAAATATCTATTTGGCCAGTAATTCGGAAAAAATACTCGGGTAGGAGATGAATGGATTAGAAATAATAATAGTAATAACAACGTAAAATAAAGATAAATATATAAAAGGACATTACAGTCACATTAAGAAAAAGTACATTATTAATATAATACATTTATAATTTTTGTTTCACTTTATGATGAGTTATGTTAAGGACCCCAAATATTTTACCTAACTTTTTACATGGGTGTGAGACCCACACACATGTGGATTTGTAGAGTTGTGGAGAATGGAGTTGGAGTGTGGAAATTTATAGTAGGTGTTAACATGTGGGAACTAGTTAGTGTACATTAGATCAACAAAATTATTGTTAAATATTTAGGAAAATGACAAAACATTAATAGTAAATTAATAATTAATTTGATATGATTAATTATAATATCTGATACGAGAAAGAAAGAACTTTATTTATGTCATTTGGTAGTGTGTGTTTTGAAAAAAGTTTGGAATCATTTGGGAGGACATGTGGACCAAGTCACCAAGTTCACTCAATTGTTACCATTTTCAACATCAATTTCAAAAACAAAATTTCCACTAAATTTTCTTACACCATTATATACGTTCATATTAATAAATATATATGTGTAACACATTGCTTCGTGTCCAGTGGTAAAAAAAAATCAAACTTTGTTTGGTTTGATTTTTATAATCTGTTATCAGAAGAAAGAAAAAAAAAATTGAAAAACTAAAAATGAATTTAGTGAAAAAAAAAGAAAAAAAATTCTTATTATTTTTATTTAATTTTATCTTGGGTGCTCAAGCAATAGTTCTTATTTATAGACTTGTATATTTGTAGATTTATACACCTTTTTGTTGCGTCTATAAGGATAGTCTAATGTCCATAACGATAGTCCACGAGCTTTTTGGATCCACGCGTCTCTATCTAATCAAACTCATTTTTCTCTCTCTCTCTCTCTCTCTCTCATCCTTGTTCCACACCTATTGTTTCTCTCTCATTGTCATTCTTGAAACCCTAAAATCAATCACACACACACACAAATGAGTGAAGGAGGGAAGAGCAGAGGCTTCACCATTGAAGTCGACGGTTAGCAGCAGTCATCGGCACTACAACAGTATTACTACGGGACGTTTCAAGGTGTCGGGAACTACCATCCTTTGTCACCTCACCCCATCATGGGTTTCCCTTGGTACGCCATTGACGGACGTGTCGTCGTCAACGTCCTACGCATCATGAGAAGCACGAGTGATGAAGGAGGTAGATGAAGGAGAAGAGGAGAAAGATGATGATAGAGGAAAGAGCAGATGTTTCTCTCATCATTGTACTTTCAAGATTTGCTTTTTTTGTGATCTCAGATCTAGAATATGTTTGTTGAGTATTGTGGGGATGGTAGATTTGGAACAATGTTTGTTTAGCTTTGATATCGTTCCTTAAATGTGTGTCTCTATGTGATCTTAGATTTGATTTTCTCTTTCAACAAATAGTGGGTTTGTAGAAAGAGAGATAGAGAGAATTGCGTTTTGAACAGATAAAAAAATGATTTTGACATATAAGACCTTTCAATCTTCTCTCTCTAGATATATATGTGTGTATGTATCAGAATTTGAACAGATATAATATAAAATAAAATAGATAGGAAAAACAAAGCTTGGTGAATTTGAACAGATAAGAAAAATGGGCTTTGTGAATTTCAACAGATAGGAAAAAATAAGCTTGGTGAATTTCAACAAATAAAAAAAATATTTGAACAGAAAGTTAAAATCAAAATTTTAACAGATAGGTAGTAAAGTCCTTCTTATCAACAAATGTCTTTTTGACTAACAAATTTCCAACAAATATCCTTATGTCTCCAACAAATCCACCATTGTCCTTAATAACTTATAGGGTTAAAGTCCTTTTGATCAACAAATGTCTTTTTGACTAACAAATTTCCAACAAATGTCCTTATGTCCCCAACAAATCCACCATTGTCCTTAATAGTTTATAGGGTTGGGAATATAGATTTATCACCAATTTTCTCTTCAACAATGCTAGAGACACCAAACTTTTTACCAAAAAACCTACCAAACACTCACATGGGTGTGGATCCTGCATAAATGTGGGTCCCACACTTATGTGAGTGATTTGATAGATTTATTGGTAATTTTGTTGGTATCTCTAGCATTTTTCTTTTCTTTTTTATTTTTTGGAAGAATAAAAATAATTTTTAAAAATTTAAAAATATCTTTTTGATATTTATTTTCATTAAATTAGTTTCTATTTTTTTAAAAAAAAATAAATAATACTTTGAAAATAGTTTCAAAAGATAACCAAACATGCCCTAATACATTTGTTTATATGTGACATTTTGCAATGTTAAAATGATCATATTCTTGTCCTATAAAGTATTTATTATTTCATGTGTCACCACATTAGTAACCAACATGAGGGATGGGGCTTTTTAGGTCAATGCAATGATAATACATACGATTATAAGCAATTTTTATGATGGGAAAGACTATGGTACACATCCTATATACACCTTATAATTAAAAAAAAAAATATCATAATTTTATATTTTCTAAGTCATGACTAAATTTATTTTTTTGTTGTCATAACTAAATACAACACGAGACATAACTACATTTCTCATAAGTCATAACTAAAATAATGTCATAATTAAATAAAAAAATTGTCATAACTAAAAAAGAAAATGACATAACTAAGGATGTATATGGTATACCCTTTTTAAGGGTATCCATATTAGAATTTTCATTTTATGATATACAAATATGGTTATTGTATCTTTATTGTTTAAGAATAAAAAATCTTGGTTTGAGCTATCAAAATTTTTAGGAGAAATTTGTTGTGTATACTTCTTTAAAAAAAAAAAAAAAAGGTATATTATAAGTATTACATTACATTGATTAAAAGTTATGAATAGATGAATCTATGGTTCACACTTTAAAGTAAAAGTTATGAATTATTATGTTGTGCACGGTATGATAAAATATCACGAACTTGTTAGGTAAAAATTTGGTTTAAGTGTAGTCAACAGTGATTAATTGATAGATTTAAATTAATTTTCACACAAACACAAAAAGTTCAGACTTGTGGTTGAAGTCTTTGCTTTAAATAGATTAAGGACTTCCTTGGAGGTAATTAAATAAAGAAGAAACAAAATAGATAAGAATATGTATTCTTCAAATAAATTGTCACTTGTTATAAGTTGCATAAACTTAAATAAGAAGAAAGAATTGAAAAATATAACAATCGGCAGAAGAAATGAAAAAGAAAACACTATCACTAATCTACTCATAAAATTGCTAATTTGACTACTCTTTGTTAGAAACTAATATCGTGTGAGTTGTTTGATTGATGATCCTTTCATTCTTCAAATCCTCATTTTATACTTGCCCGATCATCCCTCAATGCAGTTATTCTCCATGATCCTCCTTGTTCTTCTACTCCTTTGCACCTTTATCCTTTATTTAGGAATTGTTTTGACAGATTTTCTGTTTGACTTGGTCTTCCTTCCCTTGACTCTTGGCAACAGCCATCTTTCAATTTGAATTTTTCCTGTGATTTCTGTCTTTCTTCAAAAAGCCTATCACGTGCCACCTCACTATGCTTCAACATGTCGATGGAAAGATTTCAAAATTTTATTGCCAACAAAATTATTTTTGTGACAAAAGGCTCTTTTGGGAAGTGAGTTAGTAGTCATTTTTTAATTTTTAATCTATTTTGAGTCACATTATCTCTCATATTTTTTACATTTTTTTTTAAAAAAAAAAATCAAAAAAATTTACTTTTAACCATCTTTTCAATACAACCGATATGTAAGAATATTTGTAGCGACCCTAATTTTTTGTAAGTCATTATTTATTATTATTACTTTATTTTATTTTTAGTTTTATTAATTGCGTGACTACATGAGAATTTAATGTGGTATTCAATTAATTTAATGTGATATTTAATTTTATATAATTAATTTGAATATTTATATATATTTATATATATGTATAAAAGGTGTTATATATACATATTTAATTTTATATTTATATTTATATATGGTGGTGTATTTGTATAATATAATAGTGATTACACTATAAGAAAATGTATTTTTCGCGACTAAAAAAAATTTAGTCGCCAAAAGTAATGGAATAGGCTACCAAAAATAATATTAGTCGGCAAAAGTCAAATATTTAACTACTAATTTTTTTTAGTCTTTTTGGCGACTAAAAAAAATTTAGTCGCCAAAAGTAATGGAATGGACTACCAAAAATAATATTAGTCGGCAAAAGTCAAATATTTAACTACTAATTTTTTTTAGTCTGGGAATATTGATTATTGGCGACTAAAAAAATTATAGTAGCTAAAAATTATTACAATTGGCTACTAAAAAAAATTTTAGTAGCTAAAAATATCACAATTGGCGAGTAAAAAAAATTTTTAGTAGCCATATAGCTAGTTTTAGCTACTAAAATTATTTAGTAGCCGAATGAAAAAAAAAAAAATTATTTTTTTATCTTTTTTTTGGTCACCAAAAGTATATTTTTAGCGACAAAAAATGTTTTAGTCACCCTATAATTAGTTTTAGTTACTAAAATTGTTTAATGGCTGAATGAAAAGAAAAAAAAAAATATTTTTATCTTTGACGACCAAACCAAAAGGCTAAAATATTCAGATGGAGATTTCAAATTTCAGACGTATTAAAAAAATTTATAATTAGCGACCAAAATATTTAGCCACGAATTATTATTAATTATATATGTATTTTGTTTTCAACCCAAACCGTGGGTAAATCAATTCCCCTATCTCCTCTCTCTCTCTCTCTCTAGCGAGAAGAGAGACCTACCGTCTTCTCACTTCTCTCATTGTCCTCCAATTCCACCCACCAATGGCGCGGCCGCGGCCACAGGTCGCCACCACCACTGCCGTCTTGATCCTATTTCTCGTGGCCGAGGTCGTTTCCTCTGGCGAAGCAACCACCATCGTCCTCCGACCACCACGGCAGCAGCAACCGCCACACCATGTTCCTCCCCCTCTTTCTCTCTCCTCCTCCTAGCAGCTCTTCCGGCAACTCCTCCTCCCCCTCCGTCCGCCGCCAGATTCAGGGATCCGACCCTCTCCACCCTAACGCTCACATCTCCTCTATGACGATCTCCTTCTCAACGGGTAATAAATCTTCACATCTTCTCCGATCTCTTTCATATGTAATTCGATGGAATTGAGAATTGGTGTTGTTGCAGTTCCCTGCTCTACATGTGAACAGTGTACTTCTCTGATCTTTTTGATTTATGCTCACCAAGTGTATGTAAAAATGTCATAGAGAGGTTTTGAGGACTGGTTTGTTGATTTATTTTCCTTCTATAGTTGTGTGCTCTGCACTGTCACTTAATTTTAATGAAGTTTGTTAACTGAAATTGAAAATTAGAGAGAGAAAATGAAGAAGAAAAAAAAAAAAAGAGTGATTACATTCGATTGTTGATTCATCTGCTTAACTATCAGTGTATATTTAATTTTTGAATTGTAGAATTATTTGGGTTGCACAGTCGCACCAGCTCTGCATGTCTGTACTTTTATGAAACACCGCATATTTATGGATTCATGTGGTGTTTTTTCCTTAGGTTTGCTACTTTGTTGCATCAGTGTCTGAATTCGATCAAGAAGGGGTCTGCTAAGGAGATAGCTTTAGCAGCTCATGCCATTGGCAACTCTTTGACCCTTTGTTTTACTCATTTTGTTTGATTTGGAGTAGTGTTTGAGATATGTTTTTTTGTAGGATTGCTGGCTCTGACCACTGGTCCTGGGGAAAGAGCTCAGGAAATATTGGAAGAATCAGTTCCTCCTATTTCACAAGCTCTCATGTCAACTTGAGATGCCTTGATATGTAATGTTGTAGATTTAGATCTTGATTCAAACTTTGGTTGATTAGACGGTAGTTGTCTTTGAAATCTATTCTGCAAAAACTAATGCTGCTACTCTTATCAGGTAGTTGCCACTAAACCTTTACCAGGTGTAATAACAGCTATGGTTTCTGCTTGGTCATTTCTTCTTACCACTATGGAGGGATGGACATTTGATCCTAAAATCTGGCAAGAGTGAGTAAATCTTGGTCTCTAGTTTCAATGATTTATCTCTCTCTCTCTCTCACTAATTTTACGCATATATTATACTGCACATTAATACAATAATGCGCACACATGTAAGTCTCTCTCCTCCCTAATACGGTTTCTTTATTATGCTTGTTGGGTATGTGAGAGTTTTGGGATTTAGACATTGAAACCTCCCAAAAATGTCGAATATTTAGTGTTGGACTGTAAGGTCAATTGTTGTTGTGGAGAGAAATTTAATTAAACGAATTTACCCTGTTCTGCTAATGATGTAGGTCGATTTCTTATTTTTCTACTCTGCTAGACAAGGATGATAGATCTGTGCGCATTGCAGCTGGCGAAGCACTTGCCTTAATTTTTTAGATAGGAAACTTTAAGTTCTCTGGTGAAAGTGTATCATATTTCAAAACGTGCTTTCTAAAACGTGCTTTCTTATTTTTGGATCACTTTGTATAGTTAAATTTATTGTTTTGGAGTGCAAGTGTATCATATTTCAAAACGTGATTTCTAAAACGTAAATCGCTATGGTATTAATCTTTTCTGCCAACACTGGTTCTGCATGCATTACCTATCATGTTTTTGGATTTGTACTTTCTATTGCTTATTCCATTAGTCACTTGATGAGAATTGTGTTACCACCTCTCAAAGAGGTTTAAACCAGTTTTATTTGAAGCCGTTTCAATTTTTTTAAAATATATGTTTAACCAATCAAACAATGTGCTAGTTATTATGCTTTGCCCATTGCCAACTTGGGTTTTCTATGCGGAAGGCTTGAAGTGGTTTCTATTCGGGACAATGTTGGGACCTAATTCCTTGTTAATTTGTGTTGCTGGGGATTTTGTATTAGTCTATTCTTTCTTTGAATCTGTGAACCTTTCTTTGTTCCCCTTTTAAAGTCGTTCACTCTTTGTACCGAGATTGTACAAGTCACCAAACTCGGTCGTCAACAAGGCAAGGACACAATATCGGAACAAGCAGCGAATGTTTTCGCAGGTAGTTTATTATTACAATAAAAATAGTACTCAGCTCATCTTTTACCTGCAGTTTTATTGTATTTATTGCTGGTTCAATGTTTTGATGATGAGTCTAAATTAATTACTCAGGCTCAACCACAAAATCTTGCAATTTATATCTCTTGCTATGCAATATCGTGCGAAAATGGTTAATTTTAAGAGTTATCTGCCAATTTGATATGTGTTCCAATTCCATCACTTGACCTCATATGCCTGATTGAGGATGTTTAGTGGTTCATGTGGGTTGCTTAATAAAGTGACATCAAAATTGTGATGCATTTGGATTTATGGATTTGAGAAATGAAAGGTTTTGGGGAATAATTATTCAAGGAAAATAGTTCCAAGTTTTGATATGGATTTTATGATTGAATTTGATAAGTTATACTATGATAGATTATGATGGATTCAAAAATATCTATGTAATAATAGTTATTTGAAATCTTTCATGCTAAGAATTATAGTTGTACAAAGATCATAATAAAATAATTTAGTCAATAAAATAATTTTGAACTGATGTTTCAATGGAAATATGGGTTCTTGAAGGACTAATATTCATCTGCTTAATCTATGTTGTATGTACTCAGATTGAACATCAAATAGAGCAACTAGATTCAAGTGTTTGAATTTCTAATTATTATTAGGATTACTTTTATAGCAACATCAATTTATTAGCAACATCAAATAGAGCAACTAGATTCATATGTTGTATGTACTCAGATTGAACATCAAAAATTTTATTTCATATATATTCGAGTATGCAAAACTAATGATTAATTTGAAAAGATTACTTAATTTCGAGCATAACTAATGATTAATTTGAAAAGATTACTTAATTTCGAGTTTTATATGTTTTTTTTTTATAATTTTAAATTGGCCAATATTTAGTCAATACTAATGATTATTTTATTTTTATTTTTTTTCAGATGGTTTTTGACGTACAAATGTGGATATGATTTTTTTTGACAAGTACGGAAGGGCATTGTTTTTATATCTCCGTCCGTATATATAGTGGTCCATACAAATTAGTTTTTTGGCGTGGTAAATATAGCAATTTGGTTTGATAGAAATTAACATTGGATGTGGTACAAATTAGTTTTTGGGGCGGTACAGAAATTTTTTTTGGTGGTATAGATTTCCTTTTAGATATTAAATTTGGTTAATCCTCTATTATGTATGGAATTAAATTATTGGGGTTGGATTATACTTGGTTTGTATGGAATTTGTATTACATTTAGAATTGGACGTTGAATATAAATTTTTTGGATGGTTGGAAGTGAAATGTGTGCACGTTATTGAATGGTTGATAATATATTCAGTATTGATGGATTATATTGTTTATACAGGGTACAAGTTGCACTAATAATGGATACAAGTGGTTTAGAAATAACAAAAAAAAAAAAAATTAATATAGTATTTGGTGATAAATAAGTTGGTAGCCAAAATTGTAAGCAAATGTTTTGGCGACCAATAATTTAGTAGCAAAAAATAATCAAATGACTTTTTGCGACCAAATCACATATTAGCTAAAACAAATCAGAATGAGGGAAGTTTAATTGCCGACTAAATATTTTAGTCACTAAAAACATGACATCCTTTGGCGACTAGAGTATTTGGTTGCTAAATGTACGTATTATATTAGTGACTAAAATTTTAGTCTCTAATAGTTTAATTTAGTTTTATGTGAGAACTTTTGGTGATTAATATTTTAGTCGCCAAAAGATACCTTTGCCGACTAACGAAAGTTTAGTAGCCAAAAGTTCAATTTCGGCGACCAATATTTAGTCACCAAAAGATCACCTTTCCCGACTAACCAAAGTTTAGTAGCCAAATGTTTAACTTTTAGCGATCAAAAATAGTTTAGTCGCCAATACTATCGCAGACAAGGTATAGGCGACAAACTTGTTGACAAAAAAATTTAGTCGCTAATTAAATTCGGCAACCAAAAATGGGACTTTTGGCGACCAATATTTTGGTCGCCAAAACTGTCATTTCCTGTAATTAGGTTATAATATCAAGAAGGGGAAAAAAAAAGAAGAGAGAAAATAAAATAAAATAAAATAAAAATAAAATAATTTAGAGCCTTTTTGGTTAGATATATATATATATATAAAGGAACCCTAGAATTTGTTAATCAACAGCATCCACCATGGGAAGAGAAGAAGAGAAAAGAAAGGGAAAAAAAAAAAACAAGAGTACAGCCGAGACACAGGGACGGCAAAGGAGAAAAGGAGAAAAAAAATATTAAGATTTTCTTTTGGTGGCTTAATTAATTGTTTAATAGATTCTTTGATGTTCAAAAATATATTATGAGTACAAAACCTACTTCTTTTAATTTATGTTTAATTCGTTATTTTTATTTATTTATTTTTTATTTATTTGATGTTGGTTTGATTTTGTATTTGCATGTCGATGATGAATTGATTTTATTATTTGGTTAGATGTGTATGTAAGGTTTAAGGTTTTTATATGTATTTATTTTATTATTATAATCACACTCATGGTTATATAAAATTAAAATAAACTTAGAACCCATAGATAAATTCCTTACACTCCATCATGATTCCATTGATTGTTATTTTATTTGAGTGTTGGTGAGAAAAAGTGCATAAAAAAAAGTGACTATTCAAGTCTTCGATCCTGATCATACACGAAGCAGTTAATATTGGTTATTACGAGATCTGAGTAGCAGTGGATCAACGAAGAGATGCAGGGTGACGTAGCTTCAACGGTTACTTACATTTAAATTCAAAATTAGGAGGGAAGTCTAACTGCAAGAGATAACATATTGCAGCTAATTAATCAACGATCATGGAGGAGTAGTTCGACGGTTGGAAATGCAGTTCGATGGTCATCCTTGATAAGTATAAATAGCAGAGAAGACCTAGAAAAAAAGACCCAGACTCAGATCCAAAAACCAGTCTTATTCTACTTATTTTCCTTTCCAGTTTTACATTTTTAGTCTTACATTTCCTGTTCTTTACATTCTTGTACTTTAAATTCCTGCACTGCACTTCGTTCATAGGAGTAGTTTCAAGTAATAGATTGTTGCTGTAAACCTCTACAAGGCTGAGTTCGAATCATTGTAAGTTTTTTCATTCTATGAAATACTTCAATTGTTCTTCATTTAATTGTTATCTTGCTTAATTCTCCTAAATCAAGCCACCAGTAAAAGTCCTCTTCATTGAGGCTGAAAGAACTAAAACACAATCGTCTGATAATTGGTTGGCAATTAATTTTCTGTAAGGACTGATTGATCCTTGCTGGCACGTTTGCAATTACAAAAATAACCTTAAAAAATATATGTTGGCTTTTTAGCTTTCGAATGTTATTTTTGTAATTGCGAGCGTGCCAGCAAGGATTAATCAGTCCTTACAGAAAATTAATTCCTAACCAATTGTCAGACGATTGTGTCTTAGTTCTTTCAGCCTCAATGAAGAGGAGTTTTACTGGTGGCTTGATTTAGGAGAATTAAGCAAGATAACAATTAAATGAAGAACAATTGAAGTATTTCATAGAATGAAAAAACTTATAATGATCCGAACTCAGCCTCGTAGAGGTTTACAGCAACAATCTATTACTTGAAACTATTCCTATGAACGAAGTGCAGTACAGGAATTTAAAGTACATGAATGTAAAGAACAGGAAATGTAAGACTAAAAATGTAAAACTAGAAAGGAAAATAAGTAGAATAAGAGAACCTTGCTTGGTTTCTAGTTTTCCAAAACACTTTTCAAAAAATTCCACTTTCTTATTTTCCGTGTTTTTTTATTTTTACTGATTTTTTTTAATATTTTAAGCAATTTTTTTACTTTTTAGACACACCTAACATAAATACACCTAAAAAGTAAAAAACATATAAAAAAAATCTTTTAAAAATTCATTAAATACCAAAAATACAAAAAAAATACAAGAATTCAGTACATTTTTGTATTTTTATGTATTTATTAATTTTTTAAAATATTTTTTCATAAATTTTTTACTTTTTAGATACATCTAAGTAAGGTGCATCTAAAAAAGTAAAAAAAAGTTTAAAATTTAAAAAATATTCACTAAAAACAAAAAAACACAAAAATAAAAAAGTGAATTTTCAAAAAATTTAATCCAGAAAACTCAAACCAAACACAGTTTTTTGGATCTGAGTCTGGATCTTTTTTTCTAGGTCTTCGCTGCTATTTATATTTCTCAAGGATGACCATCGAACTGCATTTCCAACCATCGAACTGCTCCTCCATGATCGTTGATCATGTTGCCTTATAATTAGCTCCACTATGCTATCTCTTGCAGTTAGACTTCCCTCATAATTTTGAATTTAAATGTAAGTAACCGTTGAAGCTATGTCACCCTGCATCTTTTTGTTGATCCACTGCTACTCAGATCTCGTAATAACCAATATTAACCGCCAAGTGTATAATCAGGATCGAAGACTTGAATAGCCTTCCTGTATTACCCTTATTCTGTCACGCGTCGAATTGCAATTGACTTGTACAAAATATGTAGCCAACAGTAATTTACCCTAAAACCATGCATAAAATCCTTTAGAAAAATTACAATTCAGTGATGTTTCAAAAAAATATTTACAAATAAATAAAATAGTTTGAAATTTTAATTATTGATGTTCATAAAATTTACCATTAATGTGTAAACTTTTTTCCTACATCTAGACTGAATAATAATTTTCCCAAACACTTTCACTGTTATCAATGTAAACTGAAGGTGTAACTCGGAGGAGTTGAAAGGTTATGTAATTTACCCTAACGCCCCTGCATAAAATACTTGAGAAATTACACTGAAGTGGTATTTTAAAAAAAATATTTACACATAAATGAAATAGTTTGGAATTACAATCATAGCCTCCGTTTGGGAAGTGGGTTGGCTTTTTGGCTTTTTGGCTTTTTTGGCTATTTTAGCCTGGGCTTAAAAGCTTGGTTTGGGAAGGGCTTTTTGGCTTTTTGGCTTTTTTGAGTTTTTTTGTGAGAGAACAATGTAATGATTATGGATTGGATGTGATGTTTTGTTTGTTATGGCTAAAATAGCCTATTTTGTTTTTTGTGGCTAAAATAGCCAAAAAAGCCTGCAAACCTACTTGCCAAACACAGGCAGTAAGCTTACAATCAACAATAAACAAACGAATTATTCTAAGAAACTTTTTAAAAGCAAATTGAAGTGAGAACAAAATAAATATATTCACACCGTATAAGAACAAATTAAGGCAAACTTGAGGGAAAAGCACTTGGTTACCAAAAACGAAAAGGCCAAAAAAATCCACTGTTTAGTTTCATTTTAATGAAATTCAGTTGTCTACCCAAAGAACGAAAAAACAAAAAAACACAATAAAATTGGCAAAAATTCAATTAGCTTATGTATTACATAAGCCCAACAACCTTCTTTAACTCCATAAGGTTGCAACTTAATCTCCAAGACAACCACCTGAAAATAAAAGGATAATTATGTGCAAATAAAACCCAAAAATAAAAAAATAAAACTATTCACCAATTGGTTGTGATTAAAATGGCACTAGGTATACATACATAGATACATATGTATGTATATATAAATTGAGCTGACACAAATAACAAATATTTTCTAGCCATTCACATACAGCAGTGATTATTTTCGTGTTCACCATGCCACAAGTAATCAATCAACAATAAAAAATTTAATATTTATGCAGTGAAAAATCTCATTCGATCAACTATTACTTGGCAAAACACTACTCTAATTCTCATAAATTAATTGAGTTCCAATTTATCTTGCACGCTATCACCACATTTTAAATTCTAGACCCAAACCTTGACAAGGACTATGCTTGCATCATAATCTATTTACCTATTTCATCATGCACTAAGGTGGGCAAAAGATAAAACCAGAATTGAGAGAGAGAGAGAGAGAGAGAGAGAGACTTAAATACTTGTGTGCAGCAGACTGCAGGGCTTGAGACCCAAATTGATGTCCCCTACTTCCCCAAGCCCCCCCATCCTTTTCCTTCCTCCCACAGATGACCAACCAATCTCAACAAATCAAGTTTATCCAACAAACAACTTTTCTCTCAAGATTAAGAAATGTATTGGATAGTGAAGAAAATTTGAAGCTACGGTGGACATTTTGAATCTCAATTTGATGCAGTGGCTGATCCCACTAATGTGATGACTGAAGCATTAATTGGTTTTCAACTGAAGTCTAATTGTTATCTCCACATTAACG